CAACAACCGGCATGCCTATTGAAAACAGATCTTATGGAATTACTATTGACCTTTCTAACCTACCTGTTGAGATTTGACATTTTTATTTATTCTGTTTAATTATATTTTAAATAAAATGCCATACCATATGTCTGATTTAGTAAAAAAAAAAAAAAAAAAAGTATAATAAATGTGTTTTTAGTTGGGTAAGCCTCTTCCTCAGTAGAAATAAATGCACTGGGCTGAAATGGGAATGGGAACCTATCCAAGATGGCGGCCTGCTGCAACGCCAACTCCAGTAGGCAGCACCAGTATAGCCTGGTTCATGCTTCTCCGTCAGCTCCGCAAGGGACAGACACGCACGAATTGAAGGAAGCGTTTTGCTCTCATATTTCTCCGTCTCCTGGAGAGCGTTGTAAAGCAATTCCCCGGCAGGACAACAGAGGGCGTAGCGCTGTTCTGTGGTATCCTGTCATGTATCGGTCCAGGATAGTGTGTTTATATTGTGTTTTTTGTATATAAGAGACTTTTTAACACGGACATATTTGTCTCTCATCCTCCTCCACCTCTTCATGAGCTCCCCACCGCTAAACCCACGTTTCCTGTCATTTCCGTCCACAAATAAAACGCTTGCTGTGCAACTTTTCACTCCTCCAGTCACGGGAGAATTAAATGTTCATATTTTTAGAGTTTTTTTCGCGAGGTGTTCTTCAAGCTGCTCCGTGACTGCCGCTTGTTATCCTCGGCTCTCTTTATGTTTTTGAGGGCGCAATGCTGGCGGTGTAGACGACAGCCGCGTCCTGACCACTCACAAGCTTGCGTTGTCCGTCTCGACTGACGGATGTTTAGAAAAGAGAGCTCGACTCCGTCCGTCCTTGCAGAGCTCTCCGGCAGACACGCAAGGACGTTGCGTGTTTCCGCACTGACGCATACGGAGAAGCATGAATCAGGCTTAAGTCACTTCCATATCACGGGTCCCCAGAAGAACGAAAAAAATGAATGTAAGTCAACGGAGCTAAAACGCTATTTTCTAATTCGCTTTGCCCTGGATCACACACATGTTGTACTGCAATTTAAATGAAAAGTAATGATGGGTGTTTTGGCCACGTCTGTCACATACTTTGAGATTTATTAGCTTGTAAAAGTTCGTAATTAGCATGACTACAAACTAGAAATTGGCACGTCGCACATGTGACGTCACCACATAATCTCCTCTCCCCTAGCGTAGCTGCTACTTACCACATGACCAGATTTATGGTGGTTCTTTCCTCCTGTGGGAGGTTTGCTGAACTTGCAGCCCTTTTCCCTCAGTTTTCTCAGAGTCTGGTTCGATGACTTTCGTGAAGCGCATTTGTAGTCCTGGACTTCTTTTGCACAAAGCCTAAAATAGCGTTTTCCCCCATTCAAAAATAAGCACATTCTTGGTATAAAAATGAGTCTTTAAAATTCACGGACATCATATGTGAAATCCATGATACAAAACAAGCGGAATTGGAAAATAGTGTTTTTAGCCCCGTTGGCTTGCGTTCATTTTTTCGTTCTTCCGGGGGACCCATGGTGCGGAAGTGACGCTCCCTATACGGGTGTTTATGTATGTCTGTGAGCATTATTGCAAGATCTTGTTGCAGCAGAATGAAGGAGGTAACAACTGCTGCCACCTAGCAGTGAGAGTTTGTACTGCACCTCACAAAAAAAATACGGACAATGTTTCCAAGTAAATGAAGAACAATAAATGCTGCTCTTAAATATTGATTCAGTATCATTAAATACCACAGCATAACACACACACAAACACACACACACACCCGTGGACCCGAGCAGCGATGCAGTTGATTCTCTCCTCTACTAAAATACAGACGGAACTCAACACACCCAGGTTACACGCACTTACTCACTGTGTCAACAGTAACCATGACAACACACACTTTCAGGCTAAACTCTTTTTTTGTTTTTTCTCTTTGGCAAAGTGGACACACAGTACCCGAGGCACACCCTTAATCACACACAGATAAAACAATGATTCAGCGCAAACTGAAATCAGTAGGAACATTTTTATTGTCATAGTCAAACTGTCCCCGGGGACATTGTGACCTTTGACCTTACTGGTGCAGTCCCACATCACTCCCCAGAACAGGGAAAACACAGGAGAATACCAACATGCTTCAGTCGAAGGCACGTTTAACTACATTGTACTAATAGAAACCGTGACACACAAACCAAAATCAGCTCAGCATTACGGAAACCCAACCAGCAGATAGTAGAAGCTTTAAATGCAGAGGCCCAGGTGAGAGCCTACGGCTACCCCCCACTAGCAAAATCCACTCAGTCCAGTGCATTTGAGATTAAATGAAAACCTGTTTTAATGTTTTCTCAAAGGATCTAGATCAGGGGTGTCAAACTCAAACTCACAAGGGGCCGAAATGAAACTCTGGGACGGAGTCGCGGGCCAAACTTAATATTTTTGAAAAAGTGACGGCAAATTTGCACATTTTCTTTATCAACATATATGCAATTTTGAACC